TTAAAATAATTTGAATAAATAAAAAATGCTTTCGAAATTCATTGAAAAAAATTTATGGAAAACTAAAAAATATGATTTATGAATTTTATTTAAAAAATGTTTATTGGTTGAAAAGTTTAAATTGTGTGTCAATATTAAATAGGCGTTACTACTACAAGTTACCGATCCAAAGAAAGGTGGATCGGAAAATAACAGGCCTTGGCCGGCTAAATTCTAGGTCAACTGCCACAATTTAGAACCGGCTGTTGTGAGAACTATTCTACCCAGTCATTGAGACGCTTGAGGCCTTGCTACACCCGACCTTCACGCATCATCAAGCGCTACCATAGCACCTAGCGTCATAAACGCCCAGATAGTTCATGGCCTCCCTTCGAAAGGACGATCCACACAACACTACTTGCGAACATCGAAAAATCTACGCTTCCTCCAAAACCAAAGTAGTAGACTATAAACAACCTGAGCGGTCGACAATCAGCCGTACCGTTTCGAGGTAAAAACTCTAAATTGAGAAGAATTAAACAAGGGGATCAACAGGGTGGTGCCCTCTTCCCGTTACTGCTTAACTTCTACATCTTGAAACTTCCTTAACTGCCAGAGGGAATTTATATAACCTAGTACGTTGATGATTGCACGATAATGCCGTCGGATTCGATGGCATGTGCTCAAACGTAAACGGCTATCTCTCCGACATTTATCGCTTCCTCGCTGAACAAAATGAGTGTTAACTGAACTCCACTAAATCTATAGCGACTATTTGTACTAACTGGACGAAGTAGTACATACTTGACCTTAATATTGCAGTTGATGGCGTTAAAATTCCGACTGTCAATAACCCGAAAAATTTGGGTTGGACTGCCATCGCTCCTTCACTCCTCCCACGACCGCATTTGTGGGCCTACCGTTGGCTGACCTGTGTGATGTTATGTTAATATTTGCCGGCTGGGTAATATCTATAAAAAGGACGTTTGAACAAGGTAACAACCCAAAACATCATACCAAAGGTGGGGTTTGAAACAGAAAAGACCGACAATGTCCTGGCCAGCGCATGCAATGAACCCGAATAATATCGAAAATGTATGGGGAAATGTTAAACGAGAATAGCAAATGCATAAAGGTATGGACTCAAATCATTATGAGACTTGGTCAGGATCTAATAGAGCCCATGGAACGTGTGTATGGATGTAATAAAAAAGAAAGACGTAAGAACCAAATATTTGTGAATAAGAAAGATGTATGCGACCGGCATAATGAATCGCTGATAAAAAATAAAACCTTCCAATTTTTTTTTTTTTTTTTTTTTTTTTTTTTTTTTTTTTTTT